TGTACTGGCTCAGAGGGGTAGACAAAGATGTACTGGCTCAGACAGGTAGACAAGGATGTACTGAATCATAGGGGTAGACCAAGATGTACTGGCTCAGAGGGGTAGACAAAGATGTACTGGATCAGAAGGGTAGACCAAGATGTATTGGATCAGAGGGGTAGACAAAGATGTACTGGATCAGAGGGGTAGACAAGGATTTACTGGATCATAGGGATAGACCAAGATATACTGGCTCAGAGGGGTAGAAAAAGATGTACTGGCTCAGACAGGTAGACAAGGATGTATTGGATCAGAGGGGTAGACAAAGATGTACTGGCTCAGACAGGTAGACAAGGATGTACTAGATCAGAGGGGTAGACCAAGATGTACTGGCTCAGACAGGTAGACAAGGATCTACTAGATCAGAGGGGTAGACCAAGATGTACTGAATCAGAGGGGTAGACAAGGATGTACTGGCTCAGACAGGTAGACAAGGATCTACTAGATCAGAGGGGTAGACCAAGATGTATTTAAGTTGGAGCGAGAGAGAAGATAACAAGAAATCGGAAGGAAGGGGAAGGGCGCCGGTAAGGGCCTGTGCTCCAATGAGAGTTTGAAAAAAATGGTGAAGAATTAACATCAGTCCAAGGCCTGGAGGTTGAAGAACACTCGTCCAAAGGTAAGGGCCTTTTAAAAATTAAACCACTTATCTCAAAAGTATTTATATGTATTAAAATGAAGGAAAAAAAAGAGGGGGGGGGGTGGCCGTAGGCAGGTAACCCCATCATTTATCAGCCCGCCAGTGGTTGTGACAATTTTAAATATTTATTTGTTCTAGTTTTTTATTTTTTTTATTGATCTATTTAAAAACGACTGAGAGATGTTTTACACATTATTTATAAAAGAGGTTCTTAACCTGAGTTCCGAAGACCCCTTGAGGGTCCTTGAGTTGAATTTAATTTTTTTTTTCAAATTTATTATATATATTTTTTAAGAAGTTATTCTTAGACTGGGTCTGTGGCCTTTATCTGACTCACAAAGGGTGTTTGTGGCCTTTATCTGACTCACAAAGGGGTATGTGGAATTCATCAAAGCGATCAAACAGTGGTCTTTTTTTTTTTCTAATGGTTTGAAACAACAGCACAGCAGGGACGGAACTCTTTTGAAGACCGTACATAATAGGTTCCATATTCGCTTCAAGAAATAATGTTTGTGAACGCGAGGCCTTACAAACAATGCGATGGAAAACCTTGCGTAAAAAGCGTTAAAGGATATCTAATCTAAATATATTATATTTTCTCTTAGGCTAAGCTTGTACTTTAACGAATTTATAACTGAACATTTGAAACATCGTAGTTTTCTTTGGTAAATAAGAATTTTAATCCATTCTTGTTGTTTTTGAAATTTTTGAAAACATAATGGATATATCCTTAGCCTTAGAGTTTGGATTAAATAGAGAAATAGTATCCATAGTAAAAAATGAAAGAAATAACTCTGTTCAAATCTGTATGTGAGAATATTTAGTTTATAAAATGTGTTTGAAAATTATTCCACTGGCATGACCTATAAGTTCTTGAATATTTTTGGTGAGGCTTGCTTATGGGAGTTGATCGTTAAATTATAGTTCGTCAAGTTTACAAAGTTCCTTCCCTTGGTTTATTGAGCAAAAAGACAAGATGAAGAAGTAAGATGTACATTTTTGAGAAATTTGATTTAAAATTGTATGCTTTTTATTTAGAGATAATGAGTCATACACAAATATAACGTACACTGGGGGGGTGGGGGATAGTCTCTATAGAATTTAGGCCTAAGTACATGTTTCCACCAATTCTGAAATAATTATCCTGAAATCATGACCGTCTCTGTAATCTCTATTATGCTCTACTGTCACCTAAAAATATGTGACATCCATGATTTCAAATTAGTTTTAAAAAAAGCCTGCCTTATAAAAACATCACCACAATGTTTTGTTGAGTATGGTCAAAAATGTTGCTTTGTGTTGTCACCAATAACTAGCTGGGCAGCAATATTAAGAATTGTGATTTACCTGTGGCGTGACGCGCGTGCGACTTAATTTTTGACCTAATTATTCCGTTCGGATGAACCTAATACATGTTTACAGACAGTGTTTCCCAAACCGCCCCCCCCCCCCCCCCCCCACCCCCCCCCCACACCCCCCCCCACCCCCCCCCCCCCCCCCCCC